ACGTTATTAGACTACTTTTGTTAAGACCCAATGAACCAGAGTGTCAAACAAATGTGCTTTGAAGCTATAGTCATGAGTGTAATGCTGCATTACGATGTTCAATGACTTTCTCTTTCATTTGACAGAGACCATTACTCTCAGGTCTCACATTTTAAGAAAAGGGAAAGTTGTTATTCTCCTAAGAGAAAGAGTAAGAGTACCAATCTTCCATATGAATGCCTCTATCAGTATTCAGTATTAGGGACTACTGTGTTTACCCTATGGGCCCTAATTAACTATGTCAGCAATGTAACAATAACAAATGCAAAAGATAAGTAAAGGTAGTTATCAACGTAGTAATAACAAATGTGAAGGCTGTCTCTTTGTCATTCATTCAACAAGCACTTATAAAAGGCCCATTAAACGTGAAAGACTATGCCAGGTGCTACTGAAGACACGGAAATGAATCAAATCCAGATTCTGTCCTCAAGCAAAGGACAGGCTATTAAGAGGAAGAAACCATAATTAAAAAGGAAAAATCTATAAGATTTGAATTTTAAAGTACAATGAGAGCATTTGTAACAGCCTAGGGAAGTCTGGAGAAGGAGAGATGAGTTTCAGTTGTAGGTTCCAGACAACTTCTTGGACAAGTTGGCACACTGAAGCTAGACTAAAGAATAGGAATACATTTGGACCTGTGAGATAGGCAGCATGGGGCAGATGAAAGGTGGGGGGAACATTGTGGGTATGGTGGGAGTATAAGACCTTGAAGGTCCTACAAAGTAGGAAGGAAGTATGGACATATGCTACGTGTGGCAATCAATGAATTCTTTTCTTTGCCTCTAACTTCTTTCTCTGCAATTTTAGAAAGGATCTTAGGATTAATCTAATACTAGGATGGCAAAAAATCTTCCTCTGTCTAGTTCACTAATTTCATTGATGGGTAACAGAAGGTCACACCTGACTAGCTCAATAGAGAGGGTAACTGTCCTATACCACTTCATAAATAAAATTCTTATTAAAATCATGATGCTTTGCCGGACACAGTGACACATGCCTATAATCCCAGGACTTTGGGAGGTCGATGCAAGAGAATTGCTTGAGTCTAGCGGTTTGAAACAAGCCTGGGCAACATAATAGGACCTCATTTCTACAAAAAAATAAAATTAGGCATAGTGGCATAAGCCTGTAGTCTCAGCTACCTGGGAGGCTGAGGTGGGAGAATCACATGAGGCTAGGTGGTCGAGGCTGCAGTGACCCAGGATTGCACCACTGTACTCCAGCCTGGGCAACACAGTGAGACCCTGTCTTGAAAAAATAATGATTATTGTTATTATGCTTTCCAACTCTAAAACTCTATGATTCCCAGAAGCCAAATCTTGTCTGGAAGTTTTAAACATTTTAACTAGAATAAATAAATAAATAAAAATTTTCTTAGCTAGAATACTTACACCCATGCTTCCTAAACACAAAATACAGAATTTATTTTAGCCTTCTCGATGATTCAGACCGGTCATCATTGAAAACAGGAGGGATTGTATTTGCTGTATCACAGCATTGCCAGGATCCATGGAGGCACAGAGGATTATTTACTCTTAAATTTAGTGGCTCCAAAATGCTCTTTGCTTGTTACATATAGTGTTTTCTTTTTCTTCTGCCTGGTTATTGGGCATTTAAGCTCTCAGATTTCAGTGCTTTCAGTATATATCTACCTATTTTGCCCCATTTTTGTTCTCTCTGTTTGCTGTTTCTATTCTACTTGAAGCTTGGAAGAAGTTACGTAACGAAGTTCTGTTAGAATTACACATAAAATAAGAGTAAATAAGCTCTGAGTATAAGTCTAAGAGGATTGTCTAAATGTAAAGTATCTTAAACCTTAGTGCCATCTGGTCTGGCTGTTTAATTAAAAGCGATTGTGTGTGTGTGTGTGTGTGTGTGTGTGTGTGTGTGTGTGAGAGAGAGAGAGAGAGGAGACAGAGAAAGGGAAACACAGAGAGAGAACTGAGAGAGGGAGACAGAGAGAGAATGAAAGAGAATGTATGTGTGTGCACGTAAATGTAATTTTCCCTTCTGGCTTTTCACTGTGACTGTGAGACAGCTAAATTCAAGATAAGTAAAGTGTGACAGTTTATAATTTGCCTGGAAAAATTGAGAAGCATAGAAAATTCTAAGATAACAAGAAATGTTGTCACACCGCATTGAAGAGATAATCATGGTTGCCCCTGCTGTTGGGCAGACCCTGTGATGATCATGAGGCAATGAAAGAGCAACCATTATCTCTGAGAAACAGCAGCTACATGATTAGGCCAAGCTCCTATGAGGGAACTAAAAGAAAATGTGTATTAGACTTGAGGTTTCCTGATTCCAAACCAGACTTCCTTCAACTTCTATGAAATTCTGCCCATATGATAATTATTATTAGACATCAAAAGAAATCCTGCACCTCTGCACGACATTGAAAGAGCATGTTTCCAAGGGATGTCGGTTTGAAGTAAGTGAATGCACCCACCCAAAAAATCAACCAATAAGTGGCTGAGCAGAATCACCTGGAGGGCTTGTTTAAAATATGGATGCTTGGATCCCATTAACTAGAGACTGTTGAGCAGCCTGGAGATTGAAATCAGAAGTTTGGGAGAGGTTTTCATCCTTAAATACTTAAGCATTCAACTCCATCATAACTATAGTAAGATTATCACACCCAGGTTTGATATTAGAGAAACTCGAATTGTCTTTGTGCTTCCAAACATTTGGTATTCAGGCCTGGGGTTTTAGATAGTCAAAAGATCATTGCTTTTTTTTTTTTTTTTTTTTTTTTTTTTTTTTCAGAACACTCCTTTTTTCCTGCCTCTGCCTTTCCTGTCCAGCTCACTATGTACTTCTCAGCGCCTTCACCCATGACTGTGCCAAAAGTACAGGCTATCTAGGCACGCATGACATCCCGACCAATTTCCTTTTGTTCTACCTCTGCTCCTGGTGCTGAATTGGAAGTGGTGGCAAGGTTACTACAGGACACTCTAAGCGCCTGGCCCTCTTTCACAGAACAGGTGGGGTTGCAGGAGTAGGGTGAGGCTTTTTGCAGCAAAGATCACGTTTCTGAAGAAAACGTCAAGTGGTCCAAGATAATGTTCACAGCAAAAATTGTGACAGTGTCCTGGCCAGGAAGTAAAAGTATTCTCCAGGGTGGAAGGCACACCTACCATCTTCTGCAACAGCAGCAACAGGGGTTCTTACTGACAGCATACACAAGGAAAAGTGTTTTTGCTCATATCACCTCACTTAATACTCACAACGGCTCTAAGATAAAAATACTATTGTCCTTACTTTATAATAAAACTAAGGCTGAGAAGTAATTTGGTCAACCTTGTAAAATAAGAAAGAGGCAAAGCTGGGTTCAAAATCATCACAACAGATGCAAAATCTGAATCTCAGCCACTAGGCTATGTTAGCGCACAACCAGATTGCTTGATTGATTGATTGATTGATTTACTACTTTTTGAGATGGAGTCTCCCTCTGTTGCCCAGGCTGGAGTGCAAGGGCTCAATCTCAGCTCACTGCAGCCTCTCCCTACTGGTTCAAGAGATTCTCCTGCCTTGGCCTCCTGAGTAGCTGGGATTACCGGTGTGCACCACCACACCCAGCTAAGTTTTGTATATATAGAGACAGGGTTTCACCATGTTACCCAGGCTGGTCTCAAACTCCTGACCTCAGGTAATCTGCCCCACTCAGCCTCCCAAAGTGGTAAGGTTACAGGCATGAGCCACCACGCCGGCTGCACAACTAGATTTAAATACATATTCAGTTGTTGCAAGAATCCTGATACCTGCCTGTGGTCCTAAGCAATGCTATGGAGGATACATTCCATCCCTACACCTTAAGGTCATTGTAGCAATACTGAATCTTGTGGGAGCAGGAGCTAGAAGCTTTACATGCACTGAAAAGCTGAGAAATCCTGTCTTTGGAAATCAGTGTCAGGATCTGCAGCTGACTCAATGCCTGGGAGAAACTTGTGGGTTAGGCTACCCCATTGGGAATGCAGAGAGCCCTCTCCATCAGAAAGATGGAGCACTATAGAGCCCACAAGAAATCACAGGAAAGCAGCCTTCCCATGAGTCTGCAGGACTTTGGAATCTCTGCTGCTGCACAGGGGTTTCATTCTCCTTTCCCAGATTCAAAATTAGACACTAATATGACAGATCTGGGTACAAATAGCATCCTCACCAATGAACATTTATCCCAGTGGGTTTTTTTTTTTAACTCTCAGGTGGCTGAGGAGCTCCACAAAGGTGTCTTAAGAGACACTGTAAGGAAACAAGGTAAGTGCAATATGCCTGAGTTTTCACAGCCAATCCCATTTCAACCAGAACAGGGCTGCTAAAATGTGTTTTATATGTTGGACTTCCTTGTAAGCTTCTATTTGAAGGAAGCATTCTATCTGCTTGAATTGGACTACTGTCATTGCTAAACCCTACCAGATGGTTGGAGATCTAAGACTGAATAAAATCTAAGGAATAGGCCCAGTGTGGTGGCTCGCACCTGCACTCCCAGCACTCTAGGAAGTGAAGGCAAGCAGAACACTCGAGCCCAGGAGTTCAAGACCAGCCTGGGCAACATGGCAAGATCTTGTCTCTACTAAAAATACAAAAATTAGCTGGGTATTGTGGCACTTGTAGTTCCAGCTACTTGGGAGGCTGAGGTGGGAGGATCACTTGAACCTGGAAGGTTGAGGCTACATTGAGACAAGATCACACTACTGAACTCTAGCCTGTGTGAGAGAGCGAGACCTTGTCTCAAAAAAAAAAAAAAAAAAAAAATCTGAGGAATAACCTACCCCCAACATAACAATAGGTACTCCTCGACTTTTTTTGAGACTAGGTCTCGCTTTGTTGCCCAGGCTAGAGTCACAGCTCACTGCAACCTCAGCTTCTGAGATTCAAGCGGTTCTCTCACCTCAGCCTCCCTAAAGGTGCATACCATCACTCCCCGCTAATTTTTGTATTTTTTTTTTTTTTTTTTTTTGTAGAGACAGGATCTCACCATGTTGCCCATGCTGGTCTCAAACTCCTGGGCTCAAACAATCCACCTGCCTTGGCCTCCCAAAGTCCTGTGATTACAGACATGAGCCACCATGCCCAGCTTCAAATATCCTTGATGGGAAAATTGTACCCTTCGCTGAGGAAAGAGATGCTTCTTCAGTTAAACTTGATTCTTCAAGTCATAAAGGGATAGAAGATGAGCATCCAAGTCCCTGTAAACCACTATGGTGAGAGAAACCTCAGCCAACTCTACGAGCACCATGGAGATTTAATCAAATCATACCAGAATACCTACTGTTTACAAACATTCAGAGAAAGCCTGAGTTCTATTGGGGAAATACGAAGAAAGGAGTGTGCATTCTTGCCTGTACAGTAGCCACATGGGCCTGGCAGTTACTGTTGGTTACCTACTTGCTGATCACACTCCACCCATACTTCACCTCTTCTTTGCTGGCAGGGTCTCATCTCCCTTTGTTTAGGCTGAAAATGTCAAATATTCACTTTCCCACCTTCCTTAGTAACTAGGACATGGGAATGTGTCCCATTTCTCCAAATGTCTTCTAGGAAGAGTAGTTCGCTCTCTCTCTCTCTCAAAAAAAAAGGGGGCGGTAATAGGTCCATGAAAATGCCCCTCTTCTTCACTTGCCAGGCCCTTGGAAAACATTATCCCTTTTTATCCTCATAGCAACCCTATGAGGTAATCAATAATATCTTTCCAAGTTTAGAAATAAAGAAACCAAGGCTTAGAAAGGTGAATAACCTGACCAAGACCATACCTAATAAATGGTAGAGCCAAGATTTGAATCCAGATCTGCATGACTTCTGTTCTGGGTTGAATTGTGTCCCCCTAAAAAGATATATTGAGGTCCCAATCCCCAGTACACAGAATGAGGCCTCATCCAGAAATAGGGTCTCTACAGAGGTAATCAAGTTAAAATAGGGTCATTACAGTGGGCCCTAATCTAACATGACCAGCGTAATAATAAAAAAGGGGAAATTTGTGCACAGAGACAGACACACATAGAAGACTCTCTAAGGCATGCAGGGCAAAGACAGTCATGTGTCTGGAATGATGCATCTCCAAGCCCGGGAACTCAAGAATTGAATGCAAACTGGAAGTCAGAGAAGGCAAGGAACGATTCTCTTCCCATAGAGCCATCAGAAAACTTGGCTCTGCCATCACCTTCATTTAAGGCTTCTAGCCTCCTCAACTATGAAACAATACATTTCTGTTGTTTAAAGCCACCTAGTTTTTTGTACTTTTTTTTTGAAACAGTGTAGCTCCATCACCTACGCTAGAGTGCAATGGTATGATCATAGCTCATTGCAGCCTCAAACCCCTGGGCTCAAGCAATCCTCCTGCCTCAGCCTCCCAAGTAGCTTGGACTACAGGTAAGAACTACAGGTAAGCCACCGCATGTGGTCCCATTTTTTGGTACTTGTTATGGCAGCCCTAGGGAACTAAAACAACTCCCAAACCATCAAAGAGGTTATTATTATAATGCCTCCCTGAAAATGTGCAAATTTAGTTTTGCCTGGGAATGGTACTGGAGTAGCAGAGACAATCCTAAAAAATAATGACAGTCTTGGCCAGGCATGGTGGCTCACTCCTGTAATCCCAGCACTTTGGGAAGCCAAGGCAGGTGGATCACTTAAGGTCGGGACTTCAAGACCAGTTTAGCCACCATGGCAAAATCCTGTCTCTACTAAAAATACAAAAAATTAGCTGGGCATGGTGGCATGTGCCTGTAATCCCAGCTACTCAGGAGGCTGAGGCAGGAGAATAGCCTGAACCCAGGAGGCGGAGGTTGCGGTGAGCCGAGATCATGCCATTGCACTCCAGCCTGGGTAACAAGAGCGAAACTCCGTCTCAAAAAAAAGAAAAAAAAATCGCAACAATCTTCATAAAGGCAAAAAGACAGGGCCAAGCAAATCATGTATTGGCCCAGTAGGAGAGCCAGGTTGCGGCAGACATGATCACAAACTCAATCTGCCTTTATCAAACTAAAAATATGGCCAAAGGTGCTTCCATGTAAGGCTCCAACACCCTTTGAGGTTGGTGTCTCTGTTTGCATTCTATAGGTGATGAAACTGACTGGCCCCCAAATCCCACAGCTAATAAAAAGAAGCCTTTGAACCTATAGCTTCTAATAAGGCCCACTGCTGTTTCTGCCTGCTGTGACTTACTGTCACGGGAGACCATCCTCAAGGACATTTCCCGGCCTCTGGATGTGGGCAGACATTAGAACGAACACTGTGTAAGTACAGTATTTGCCTCATGCTTTGTGTTTCTATTTGAAACAGGTTTTGGTTTTAGGGTTTTTTTAATTTTTTTTTTTTAGGACTTAATTGGTCAGTGTAACAATTGCAGTTCCTCTGTGTGTTGTCTCAGAACGCCCAACTGCATCTCCCTGATGGCCTCATTTCCCCCTTCAGTTACTGCACATTCCACTGCAGCAGAGCTAATAATTGCAACTCATTAATTTAAGAATTGCCTTGAGATAAGAACAAAAGCGCTTACGTGGAGGAAGTCAGCGGGTTGGAGGTAGGCAAAAGAACTTGCTCCTCAAGAGGAAACTGAACTTTGGCTTCCAGCCCTTGGCACCTCTGATACCACCAAGTCCATGATCTGTGGCTTTTCTGTTGAGCAGACGCAGGATGCTTCCTCTACAGCTGAGAGAATAACTTCGGTGAAAGCTCCTCCTCCTGCCCACTCCCTCAGCCTGGAAAGCAGCAGGAACGTTGTAGGTCATCACCACCCAGGGTGCCACGAAGTGGAACTCTGAAATAAAGAAAATGGAAGATGACGACTCAAGCTACAGATTCCGCACTTGAGAACTCCAAGAGGGAAGGACTGTGATGTCTGGACTTTTCTTTTCTTCATCATTTAGCTCAACTTTTCAGAATGTGATTTTTTTGTAACTTCTTTTGCCCTACATTTATCATGGACCCCTGCTTAGTAACCTGCAAACTCCCATACCTAGCATCTAAAGCTCTCCATATGCTGACACTAACTTCTCATTCAAACTAGACTCCAGCCACTCCCGAACTTGAAGCCTCCCTTCTAACCAAATGACTCCAAAATATCTGTGGTACTTTCTTATCTTCCTGTCTCCTGGCTCAAAGCAATTCCCCGCTGGAATCCCATCATAACAAAATATACATGAAAAGGCACCCATCCTGCAGTCCAGTGGATCTAAATCATCTATCCAGAGACTGGCTTTACCCAAACCATCTAAGTAGCTTATTAGAGACCCTGAGCTCTACTGCCAGATGGTTCTCCTGCACAGTCGAGTTTGGAAACTCCTAATGGCCCAAACTCACTCTGACAGTGCAGGGCTCTCCTCTATACCATTCTAAGACACAGAAACCAGTCTCTGCTTGAACATTCACTGTGGTCTGGAAATCACCACCCGATGAAAGAACTGAATTCCACTTTTAAACAAAGCTAATGGTCAAAAATGTATGCCATTTGTTGAGGCAATGTCATCTTCTCTGCAAATCCCACTATTTGACCTAATTTTGTCATATGCATCTACCCAGCATATACACAATAACTCTTCTAACAACAGCTGTTCAAATATCTAAAGATAGACATAATATCCCATGCATCCCACACCCAAACTCATAAGTCTTCAAATCCTCTGCTAAACAACTCTAATTCCTCCAAATGTAAGCGATAATTGATCGTGATGATCATAGTCCTTGGCATAATCCATGAAATACATACTATCACTATTTTCATTATACAGACAAGTAAAACGAGGCTGTGAGAGATTAAGCAACTTCCCCAAGATGACATAGTAAGCGTCAGAACGTGTGTCAGTCTGAACAAGTCTGACTGACTCCAAAATGATGTTATTACACTCTGCTGTGCTGTCCCTAATTTGTTCATTTTGTTTGAACAATCTCTGATCTTAATATCGCTCATTCAATGTCATACCCAGAATGGAACACATTGCTTGTGAACTTGTGTGCCCAGCACAGAGCACAGAGCCCTCTTGCTGTCCACTGTGCACTTCTATCCATGTAGCCCAAGATGATCTTGGTATTTCCTGGTAGCTCCATCACACAGTTGGCTGATACCAATTAAACTGCTTTGGTTTATTTTCACATACACTGCTATAAAGTCAGGTATTATTTCCATTTTATCAATTGCCTATTGTGTGCAAATCCAAGAACTATGGACTAAGGATACTGGAGTGGATACAATGTTAGATAAGGCACACCTGCTCTCAAAGGAGTGAATGAAAGGAAAGGAAAATACTGAGTGGAAAAGATTAGAGAATTAGTTCCCATCCTTATCAATAGCATTTATATAACTGTCAGGTGGAGAGAGAGAGCTTAGGGAGGCCCAATCCCTTTTCAACTCTGTGATAATTGTTACTTTGTGACTATATAACCCCTATTACCAAAGCCTGAACAGAAGAAAGGATCAGACACTTAAAGCTACCATTCTGTTTCTTATCCTGTGCCTTTTAAACCTGAGTTGAAGACTTTCCTTCTATGTGCACTGAGTTGTATCTTATGTATTTAACTTGTGAGTCTTGCCCATCTTTGCAAACTTTAGAGATTTTTAGTTTTGTTTTTTAACCTGATTCTGCCATATAATGTCTTGGTCAGCACTACCAGATCTGAACCTCCTACAAATGGAATTAACATGCCCTCTATGTTCCAGATGAAAGCATCGAATGGGAATTGAGCCTAGACAAGTAGCACTGCAATAGAGATACAAGCTCAATTCAGGAAAGGCCTCTGCTGAGCTTGTTCATTAACTCCCCAGCACATGGCACAGGGTTCCATGTGAAATGAATACATATTGAGCCTTGCATAAATCAAGTAATTAATTAAGATCCTTCTCCAGTATCAAACCATAGAATATTAGAATGTCCTAGGTGGACAGGACCTTAAAAGTCATTTAACATCCTCTTTTTTGTTTTTTGTTTTGTTTTGTTTTGTTTAGACAAGGCCTTGCTCTGTCGCCCAGGCTGGAGTGCAGTGGCACAATCTCAGGTCACTGCAACCTCTGCCTCCTGGGTTCAAGTGATTCTCATGCCTCAGCCTCCTGAATAGCTGGGATACAGGCCCATGCCACCACACTAGGCTAATTTTTGTATTTTTAGTAGAGTCCGGGTTTTGCCATGTTGACCAGGCTGGTCTTGTCTGGGCCTCAAGTGATCCACCTGTCTCACCCTCCCAAAGTGCTGGGATTATAGGCACCCAGTCTTCAACATCCTCTTTTCTTATAGTCAGAAAATGAAACCCCAAAAGGAACAAGTATTGACCTAAAGTACCTACTTCGGGGGAAAAAACACAGATCAATTATCCAGGCTTCCTGTTTTCAAATGCTGAGCACTTTCCAATACAGCAAGCCAAGGACTTCCTAATCAATATTCTCCTATTATGTTTGTCTAGCCTTTAAATATACTATAGTAATCCCCTCTTATTCTCAGTATAGTATAATAAGAGACCACATATTTATATAACTTTTATTACAGTAGATTGTTATTATTATTTAGAAACAGGGTCTCATTCTTGTCACCCAGGCTGGAATGCAGTGGCCAGGTCATAACGCACTGTAGCCTCAAACTCTTGCCTCAGCCAAGTAACTGGGCTACGTACAGGCTTGTGCCACCATGACTGACAATCTTATTTTTAGAGATGGGGTCTCACTATGTTGCCCAGGCTGACTTTGAACTCCTGGGCTCAAGCAATCTTCTCACCTCAGCCTCACAAAGTGCTGGGATTACAGGTGTGAGCCACAGTGTCCAGCTTTATTATTATTATTAGTCTTTTACTGTGCCTAATTTTAAAATTAAGCTTTATCATAGACATTATGTATAGGAAAAATAATAGTATATATTGAGTTCGGTGCCACCTAAAGTTGAAAATATCCGCTGGGGGTCTTAGAACAGATCCCTGAGAATAAGGGGTGAGGGGGTGCTTACTATATTATTATATAGCCTGGAGAATCATGTGGAACTCCAATTAGAACAGAAGAAATACCTTTTCCTTCTGACTCAGAGGCCAAATGTTCTTCAGTAAATGAAGCTAAATTCCCAGCTTAGAATTAAACTTATTATCATATGGGAAAGTTTATCCATATCCAGCTTTGCGGGGGTTGGGAGGAGTCTTCCATCATTGCTCAGACACAGTAAGTGGCCTTCAAAGGCCCTCTCCACATCTGAGGCTCATGACCCCCAGGCCTGAGTATTCTGTCTCTGGGCCTGACCTATTTTAGATTGTGCTTTCTAATCCACAGTAAATATTAAAGCATTATGAACTGTTGAGCGTCTATTATGTGCTAGTCCCTTAAAAAACTGAAGTATGATTTTATTTCTTTATTTAAAATCCTCATGACAACCCTGCCTGCCCGATTTTGTAAAATTTTTATTTATTTATTTATTTAGAGACATAATTTCTGTCGCCCAAGCTGGAGTGCAATGGTTCTATCATAGCTCACTAAAACTTCAAATTCCTAGGCTCAAATGATCCTCCCACGTTAGCCTCCTGAGTTGCTAAGACTACAGGCACATGCCACCACACCTGGCTGATTTTTTTAATTTTTGTAGGGATGAGGTCTTGCTATGTTGCTAATGCTGGTCCTGAATTCCCGGCCTCCCAAAATGCTGAGATTACAGACATGAGCCACCATGCCCTGTACATGGCATCTTTTATTAGCCCATTTTTCAGATGAGGAAATGAACGGCCAGAGGTTAATATACTAAGTTAATATATGTAATACTTATTAAGTATTAATACTTAAGCATTAATTAACTTAATATCTATATTAATAATACTTTTCAGTTTTAAGTGGAGAAGTCAATATTCAACCCAGGTCTATTCATCTAAATCCAAATTTAATCCAAGGCCATGCACTTCACACAACATCAAACTGCTTGCCCTATCTGTCCAAAATTATTTCAAGCTAGACCTTAAGTATCTCAGGATACCCAGGCCTGAGTATTCTGTCTCTGGGCCTGACCTATTATAGATTGTGCTTTCTAATCTAAGCCCAGGATTTCAAGCAAATTACCCAGAAAAATATGAATTTGTCCGTCACCATATCTACAATCTTTCCCATCTGGTACTCCAGACCAATGTCTCAGTGGATCCCTAATGTAACCTACATTTGCAGCCTTCTTCCACGAGAATTCTCTGCCCTGAATTGTTCTATTGACTAACCACATTACAGAATCAAAAACAGTATGATTTCAAGGAGACATTTAACTCATTCAATGGTGGGAGTCTGTATTTTTGGGGTTTTGTTTGTTTTTGCTCTTTTGCCTCATTAAAGAAATGAAGATCATAAAAATGAGTTACGTTTTTCTGGATATTGATAGAAATGTGTTTGTTTTCTGTGTTTAAATGTACAGAACAATTTATACACAAATAAATTATTTACTAATGCATTTTCTTTTTTTGGCATTTGTTTTTGTTTTTTGAGACAGGGTCTTACTCTGTTGTCCAGGCTGGAGTGCAGTGGCACAATCACAACTCACTGCAGCCTGGAACTCCTGAACTCAAGCAACCCTCCCACTCCTCTGTAATCAGTCCTCTTCCCCACCGCAGTCCCTGGCAATCACTGGTCTGATTTATGTTTCTAGAGTTTCACATTTTTCAGAATGTCCTGTAAATGAGATCATACAGTATGTAGCTCCTGAGTATGGCTTTTCCACTTAGTATTATGCTTTGAGATTCATCCAGGTTGTTGCATGGATAATCAGTTCTTTGTAACAAGGATATTTTGAGAATGTATGAGCAAAAGAAAAGAGAGAAGGAAAAAGAATACAACAATGATTTGGGGGAGCAAGGTGATGTTGAGTCAAGAATCAGGTGTTTGGAAAATTGAACACACTTAAAATATGGTATAAATAATTATGTTAGATTTTTTCCCCCAAAATCTAGTGTACACAAATCTCTCCCTTCTCTCTCTCCTGGGCCTTGGGTTAGAGTTAATATAATTATACTTCTCAGTTCCCAATATCTTACTACCTTCAGTCTGTGCAAGGCCTCACTCCTGCTTAATTATGTTTTTCAATTTATTCTCTGCGTAAGTACAAATCTCCTCCTCTCAAGATTCTCTCTCTCTAGCTTATGTGTTCACTATATGTGCTTAGGTGCACATGGATTCTTAAATCCTACATAGTGCTAATTTGTGTATTTATGTGTTTTAAATTTGCATAAATGGTATTGTGGGATCGAGCTTGTGCTGTTTTGTTTTCACTCAGCCTTATGGTTTTTGTTTTTGTTTTTGTTTTGAGACAGAGTCTCACTCTGTCGCCCAGGAGTGTGGTGGCGCGATCTCGGCTCACTGCAACCTCTGCCGCTCAGGTTCAAGCAATTCTCCTTACAGGTGCTTGCCACCATGCCTGGCTAATTTTTGTAGTTTTAGTAGAGACAGGGTTTCACCATCTTGGCCAGTCTGGTCTTGAACTCCTGACCTAGTGATCCACCCACTTTGGCCCCCCAGAGTGCTGGGATTACAGGCCTGAGCCACCGTCCCCAGTCAGCATTATATTTTTAAGATCTATCCATGATGAGTTAACAACATATAGGACTTTGAAAACTGTAAAGGCTTCTACAAATGTTCCTACTTTTATGTTATTTATTTATTTTTGAGAGACAGAGTGTCACTCTGTTGCCCAGGCTGAGTGCAGTCCCACCATCATAGCTTACTACAGCCATCAACTCCTAGGCACAATTCTCTTGCCTCAGTCTCCCAAGTTGCTGGGATTATAGGCACGTGCCACCACACTGGGCTTTTTTCTTTTATTTTTGTAGAGACAGGTTCTTGCTGTACTGCCCAGGCTGCTCTTGAATTTCTGGATTCAAGTGATCCCCCTGCCTTGGCCTCCCAAAGTGCTTGAGATTACAGGTGTGAGTTACCATACCCAACCAAGAAATCATTTTTAGCATCTATTTTAGGTGTGTTGCTAAACCTTTGGTGTAAAAAAAATTATTTTAAAGGACACAGTTCCTTACGAAGAAATGCAGTAAACAAATAATTGCATAATCAACTATATGATAGCAATAAGTCTAAAATCATAAAGAACTGAACAGTACGAGAATTTCTAACAGTAGCCCTAACCTCTTATTGAGACTCAGGCACAAATTCCCTGAGGCAAAGATACTTATGCCAACTTTTGTCCCTTAAATTCAAACTTCATAAAAGACCCATAGACGTCACATGTATTGGACACATACCAAATGGGTTTTGCTATATTTTGAGAGGATAAGTTTGAACAACAACAACAACAAAAAAAACTAGGACCTAGCTGCAGAAAATTTGACCCAGTGACTCTCTGGAGAGATGACTCAAACCCAGGTCACCTAGAGATGACTTACAGCAGCACAGAACATTCAAAACCGAATTAATCAATGGCATGAGTCAACTTCTCATTCTGAAATGGGAATCTCCCTTGCAGGGCATACGATGGGGGTGGGGCTAGCATCTTCAGTGCCCTTCGGCTGAAACCTCTAGGGGAGCATACACACGGGCAGGCTGTAGAACTCTGACCCCACTGGCAGTGTCTGGGGTGAATGCTGGTAGTGTCTAGAGGTGAATGTTGACAGTTCCTGAGGCCCCCGTGGGCGTGTGTTTCAGGGTGCTTAGTTTGCCATGTACAGGCCACTTGAGTTAACCAGCTCAGTTGGACTCCCTTCCTTATCACAAGGACAGAGGGATTTCTGTACCCTGGGGTATCTTGCCTTAGTGTACTGGATGAATCAAATCACACGTGGGCTTGGAGATTGAGTGTCAAATTTTATTGAGTGGAAGTAGCTCTCAGCTGATGGAGGAGGCAGAAGGCAGATAGCCTTCCCATGCAGTTGGGCAGCTTAGCAGCTTAGCTCTCCTTTCACTGCCCCAGCCAGACTGCCCCGTCCAGACTGCCCCATCCAGACTGCCCCATCCAGACTGCCCCGGCCAGACTCCATGGCCTGCAGGCATGCTCTTTAGCTGGCTTGCCCTTTCTGGCCTGCAGACATGCTCTTTGACTGGCTTGCTCTTTGGCCCGCTTGCTCTTTTCAACAACCAGCGGCTCGAGGTGCTCCTTTCGAAGTGTGGCTGCCTGTGTGCCCGCAGGCTATGGTCTCGGGGGTGTGGCAGGCCAGGATGGTCTTGGGAAATGCAGTATTTGGGCAGGAAATCTCTGTCCTCAGCTAGGTCCATGGGGGTGGAGCCCTAGCCAAAGACCACGCCTTCCTCTACCCAGCACTTCCCTTCCTTGCTTCCGTATTATTTAAAGAGACCAGGGTCTTCCCTTCCCAGCACTCCCATGTTAATTTCACACATGTGGATGTCATCACCAGTTAGGCCAGCATCATCAGAAGGAATATTAATTAAACTCCTGTCGCTGCACATTGTGACTGGGAGCCTGTTTGTTTGCTTGGATGGAGGAACAATTGGAGAAAGTGAGTAACAGAACTTCCAGATAGCGGATCACATCATTATTCTTAGCTTTACTGCTGAACTGCACCAAATAATTGGTGCGAAAGAAAGGAAAAAATCCAGGTTCACAATACAGAATTTACACTCCCAAACTAAGTAGTATAGCTTGTGTTAATCTTCCTTTAATGTAAAGTAGGAAGCAGAAACAAAAGAGAAAAGACACAATCTAAAAACAGGGAGCACATACTCGCATGAAGATGTTCAGCTACAGGAAAATCCCAACTCTATGCCTCCATTAATCTCAAGAGCAGCCATCATCCTCTGGATTAATGACATAGTCAAATAGTTTCCCCTTTAGTGAGATAGATAAAGATCTTGAGAGCTGTCAACAGCCATATATATAATATCTATGTATCTATATATAGATATATAGTTTATTTGTTTGTTTGTTTTTTGATAACAGAGTTTCACTCTTGTCTCCCAGGCCAGAGTGCAATAGCGAGATCTGGACTCACTGCAACCTCTGCCTCCCAGGTTCAAGCAATTCTCCTGCCTCAGCCTCCCGAGTAGCTGGGATTACAGCTGCCCTCCACTATGCCCAGTTAATTTTTGTATTTTTAGTAAAGACAGGATTTCATCCTGTTTTCCAGGCTGGTCTCAAACTCCTGAACTCAGGTGATCTGCCCACCTTGGCATCCCAAGACACCAAGCCTGGCTCAGGAATATATTTGTTTAATGCGAGTCTATACAGACACTGCTCTTCTTCATTTAGAGAACATTTGTGTATTTCCTAATAAGGCAGATTTGTTTGAAAACTGCCTGGTCTATCCTTTCCCAATCTACTGTTATGACCATGAATTAATCTCACAAAAATCTGTGTCCTCTTGTTTGAGGAATAGCATTACATTACAACTGCTTGTGCATTCGCAATCCTCTCACACAGGAAATCTGAAATCACAAACTGCTATGTAGGATTTATCAAAATGCTTGATGGTTATTGGTGCCTAAAAGACTAACAGGCATGGCCTATTTTGAATGTACTTTGAAAGCCTCTCAATTTGCCTTTATAATGTGTTGACATGAGTGAGATTTAACACCAAAGGTGACCTGAAAGTAATGAAACTTATACTGAAGTCCCAAGAGTAAACCAACTTAATTATTTTTTAGTATTCACCTCCTGTTTGAATATGATTCAAAGTGAAAAATATGTATTGAATCTTCTGACTAAATTCAAGAGAAACAGAAACAACCACAGACTTAAACAGCCAAATTCTTAACCTTGGGCCCTTAAACAGACGTTTTAACAACCACATTGTCCTTAAATATCCAAATCTCTAAATTCATTTGGGGAAAATTAGGAGTCAAGGCTTTCATCAGATTCTCAAAGCATCTGTGGCCTTAGGAAATTGAAGGATCACTGTCCCAGTTGTGCAATAAGGCATATGTAAGAATTGACGGATAGGTTTGTCTACTGCGGGAAAAAAGAGGGAATGGTAAATTGTTAAAGGCAAATTGTACTTAAAAATCATCTCATCTGAGTCAGCCTTCTTTGGTTTACAGAGAGAAAACCAAGGCACAGCAGGAAAAGGTGACTTGCCCCTGGAGTAGGAGAGAATTAATAATGTGCCACAGCCCTCGTTCTGGAACTAACTATGGATGTGACTTGGACATGGAAAGTTAATTGTCATAAAACAATTACAGGAGAAGAAGGGAAAAAGTCCATTTGCTTGGGAATAACAAGAAAAGACATAATGAGGGATACGGCCTTTGAAACGATCTCAAATGATTTTTTTTTAGACAGAGTTTCGCTCTTGTTGCCCAGGCTGAGGTGCAATGGCAGAGGCTTGGCTCACTGAAACCACCACCTCCCAGTGTTAAGTGATTCTCCTACCTCAGCCTCCGAAGGATCTGGGATTACAGGCGCCTGCCACCATGCTCGGCTAATTTTCGTGTTTTTAGTAGCGATTGGGTTTTACCATGTTAGCCAGTCTGGTCTCAAAATTCTGGCCTCAAATGACC